AGTGGGGGCATTTAGCATCCCCTCCATGATCAAAGACCCCACCACCCCCACTGGGAATCGATTGTCTTGAGGATCGGGGGCAGTAAGAAGTACCTCGCCCATGACTTGGCGAGGGCTGGGCCGTGGAGTGAGGGGGAGGTGGGGTGTCGGGGGTGATCCGGCTCATTGGCCTGAGACAGCAAGTTGTGAGAGGAAGTCGGTTCTACCGACCTTTCGCCCCATCGAGTGGCCATGCCAAGTAGCCAAGTAGGCACCAGGTGGGTGGGCGTCCCGGTGTGCAGGACAAGGTCAGAGCTGAGGACACAGATTGGAGAGCTGTCTGCAGGTTCGGGGCGCTTGAAGGCCCCAGCAGGGTGAGGTCACTCAAGGAGTGAGAGCAGAGGAAGGGGACCGAGAGCCAGCCCTGGGGACTCTGCCAAGGGACAGGGCTGAGGGGCACCCCGGGCAGAGCTGGGGCGAGAGCCCCCAGTGGGGCACAGGGGCCGTGTGTATGTTTCCCCCACATAGGCTTTCCTCATGGGATACGGCCCCTTTTCTTCTGCATAGACTGAGCTTTAACGGGGATCTCTGGGCAAGCCTGTTTCTTCAGTTTATGAGGAGGTTTGGCGTGCACTATGTTCCTAGATTTCTAGTTTGCTTCTAAATTAGTATCTAGTGCCTCATATGCCTGCCGTTTGATCTAAGATGCCTCATAGACATTTGCTGTAAACCTCCTCAGTGTGAAGATCTCTAATGTTAATTCTTACTTGAATCGGTTCTCATGATGACAGAATCCCATGTATTTGTACATCCCTGACAACTCCTAGGTTCTCTTAAACTGAAATGCACATCCTCAGTCAATTACCTTACGGGATAAGCTGCCTGGCCTCCACATCCAGTATTTCTAAACATCCCGTGTTTCCTGTGTTGCTTTGAAAGAAGCCTATTTTCCTTGCTTACTTAAAGAACTGAAATAGTCATTCCCCCGTGTTCTCGCACTAGGAGACAGTTTTTTGCAAAAATATTCCTTAGGTTTGCAAAGGCACGCTCACCACTGATGTGTTTCTTCCACAGGGCACAGGAAGTAAAGGAACACGGCTTTTTCAAAGGCATCGACTGGCAGCATGTCTACTTACAGAAGGTACTCTGTCTGGGACCCCACGCTGGGCACCGCCACCCCCATGTTCCCCACTTCCTGGGTCCATCCCCCAGGGTCCCGCCCCAGCCTCCCACGGCCGCCGGGTCATTCTCGCTGCCATCCAGCCGACTCCCTCGGGGCCCGCTTCTCCCCTGGTTTCCCTAGTTTCAACATTGTGAAAATATCTGCAGTATAAATTAACAGATGCTGAACTGCAGTTGTTATCTGATGAATTCAAATGTCCAAATAACTGAGACGCTTTCAGCTTTCGCTCGTCTTTTTGACTTCCTGTCTCGATCCGTGACTGTGTCTTCACATAACACCTATCGAGGGACGATGAGAAAAGTTGGTCGCAAATTTACACCTGCTTTCTAGCCCAGCACCGCTCAACTTTTAAGGATCAGTGTGACTGGATGTAGCATAACTCTCTCCCCTTAATTTGGAGATATTTTTATATTCCCATTGGTTCGGGAAACCACCCCCAAATTAAGGTGTTTTTTTTTTTAATGTTTATCAGCTTCGGATTCGTTTTTGCATGATCTCAAACAGTCCAACCATGGAGGGCTGACGCTCTGTTAGGCCCGCCTGATGTGAGTGAAGGAGTGAGCTCTGGCATAGCTGGCATTGGCCTCCAGACGTCTGTGGGTGTGGAGCCCTGCTCCTGGCCCCCAGCGAGCGGAATGTGGTGCCGCGTTGTCTGAGAGATCATGTTTTCCCAAAGTTCAGCTGGTGGCATGTGCAGTCTTGAGACATCATTGTATTCAGCGATGCTTTAAGACCTTGGACATGAATCTCCCCCCGCCCCCCCCACCTTCAGTTTCTCTCAAACCTGGGGTCTTCTCTTAGGGATGTTCCACGCAAAGCTCCTCTGTGACATATGTGTTGTGACGGGAATGAGCTCGGCTGGAGTGTCCACAGAATTCAGCCTGTTGGTATCCTGCACCATGTTCTCACTGTAGAACGATAACGTGGGTCGAACAGGCCGTCAGGTGATCTGATAACTGAAACCTTCCTGTTTGGATCTTCCAGTACCCTCCACCCTTGATTCCTCCCCGGGGAGAAGTCAACGCTGCCGACGCCTTTGACATTGGCTCATTTGATGAAGACGACACCAAAGGCATCAAGGTACACTTGTGACGTTCGCCTGCAGGTGCTTTGAAGGGTGGGGAGATTTTCGTCGGCAGTCAGACGGGTGGCTGTCTTCGTATCGGCTGGCTCTGGGATGTTACCAGTGAACGTCCACACATTTGAAGGATGTAGCCTTCAAGGAGCTAAATTAGAAACTATGAAAGCTCTCCCCTGGCTAATCGTTTTGTTCGATAAGCTGCACGATGGTCAGTCTCTTACAGATTTGGAGATACTTGCAGTTGAACTAGAACTCGCACGTACGTGAAGCAGAGAAAAACAACTGTGTGATAGCAAAGACACTTTGCCTGGCGCTGGAGAGCCAGCCATCTTAATCCTTTTAAGTATTCAGATCTCCGTGCGTCAGGATGAAAAGAGCAAACAGCCTGAGCCGTTTTGCATTTGTCAATCAAAAGTGGAATAATCACTGTGGTGGTTTTTTTTTTTTACATAATCCTCTGCATTTTTCAAACTTTTGTTCATATCATTATGCCTCTCAGTAGACAAGGCATAATTACAGATGGTGAGTCATGGGAGAAAATCATCCTTTTCAGGGTGCTAAGTCAGAGCATATCACCACATGTCGGCTCATGTCTGCCCCCACCTCCCCAGCTTCCCCCAGGACCTCCCCATCTCAGCTCAGCTGCCTCATTATACCCTGGTTGTGTAAGCTCCCCCCTCACTTTTCCTACCAAGCAGCTCCCCCCACCCCCC